CCACCCAGCCGCCCCCCCCCCCTTTCTATCTGTCTATCTATCTATCTATCTATCTATCTATCTATCTATCTATCTATCTATCTATCTATCTATCTATCTATCTATCTCGCTCTCTCTCTCTCTCTCTCTCTCTCTCTCTCTCTCTCTCTCTCTCTCTCTCTCTCTCTCTCCCTCCCTCCCTCACTCCTCCCTTCCTTTCTCCGCTCTATTTCTATTTCTGTGTGTGTTTGTGTGTGTGTGTGGGGGGGGGGGGGGTCGTAAGCCCCTCTCTCTTTCACCGTCGCTTTAAAATTCAGTTCTGTTACTTCAGAGCACGGTCTCTCTCTCTCTCTCTCTCTCTCTCTCTCTCTCTCTCTCTCTCTCTCTCTCTCTCTCTCTCTCTCTCTCTCTCAATTGAGGAGAAGAGGAGGAAGAAGCAATGCATAAAGTACAACAAAACAATAAAGGTCTCCCGATAGGTGAAAAGATAAGGAATAGAATTTGGGGAAGAGAGGGAGAAAAAGGAGTGATTAAAGTATGGAAAACTACAAAGCTCTCTTGCTCATTTCACGGTTGGGACGGGGGCTCTCGTGGCCTAGAGGTTAAGGTGTTGGCCTCTCATTCAAAGATCCCGGGTTCGAATCTGGGTGGCGACCGAAAAATTTTCTTCTCTAAAATTGTATCCTTTCACCTCCTTTCCTGCTTTCCAACAATGCTCTGTCGTCTGCTTTCTACCCCCACCCCCTCACCTCCTTTGCCCCCCTCCTCTGGGCTCCTGACTCTTTCTGCAGCCTTTCTACTGCTACTCCTTGGCTCCTCCTTACTGCTGTCTTTCTGCCACACCCCTGATCTTCTGGTAGGAAAGATCTACACCTAACCTTCAACTGAAAATATTAGGTGTGTCCCGCACGCTCATATGACCTTATGCAGGTGCCGTAAAACACTTTCCAAAAAAACCCCAAAAAACAACAAAATCGGTTGAGATCCGTACAGATTTACAGCCTATTCAACGTTGTTAACATTATAACAGTAATAGGACTACCACTTCACGAACTTGATTAAACCAGAGCCCTGAACAGGTTACAGTGACTATCTATAGGCCTACTATAACTAATATCATTCTGTTACCTGGGGTGGAAATCTCTTTACTGACCTTTCACCCGTCAAAACATTTCATCAAGAGAGTGGGGAGCAGGCTATAGTTATTGACCTCTCACTTGTACATGTACGTTGGGGGCTCTTGTGGCCTAGAGGTTAAAGTGTTCGCCTCTCAATCAAAGGTCCCGGGTTCGAATCCGGGTACGACCGAAACAAAAATTTCTCTCTAATTGTCTCTTCTCACCTCCTTTCCTGCTCTGTAGCAATGTTATGTCATCTGCTTTCGTTTCCACTTTCTGCCCACACCCCCTCGCCTCCTTTGCCCCCTCCTCTGGGCTTCTGACTCTATCTGCAAACTTTCTACTGCTACTCCTTGGCTTCTTCTTACTGCTGTCTTTCAGCCACACCCATGAACTTCAGGTAGGAAAGATTTACACCTAGCCTTCTCGGACCAGGGTGAAAATCTCAGAGGTCCTGCGTGCAAATAGCGCACTTTAAAGATCCCTTGGTGGTCTAAAATCGATAAGAGTAGGCTTCGGCCGCCACCCGGACAAAATTCAAAATTTCCTTCCAACTGAAAATAGTTTCATGTGTGCCGCGTGCTCATATGACCTTATGCAGTTACGAGCGCTGTAAAAAAAACAAAAAAAAAAAAAAACATGTAGATCTACGTTGCTTTTTCAATATCTTTTATTTAGAGAAAGTCGCCGAGTTTGGGGAGCTCGATCTCAATCCTTGACAGCAAACGTGCAATGATCAGTTTGTTCCCACCCAGCCGCTCCCCCTGTCTGTCTATCTATCTATCTATCTATCTATCTATCTATCTATCTATCTATCTATCTATCTATCTATCTATCTACCTATCTATCTATCTATCTATCTATCTACCTCTATCAATGCATTTGTCTATCTCGCTCTTTCTCCCTCCCTTCTCCATTCCTTTCTCCGCTCTATCTCTATTTCTCTGTGCGTGTGTGAGTGTGTGTGTGTGTGGGGGGGGGGGGGGTCATCAGTCCCTCTCTCTTTTACTGCCGCTTTAAAAAATTCAGTTCCGTTACTTCAGAACACGATCTCTCTCTCTCTCTCTCTCTCTCTCTCTCTCTCTCTCTCTCTCTCTCTCTCTCTCTCTCTCTCTCTCTCTCTCTCTCTCTCTCTCTCTCAAATGAGGAGAAGAATAGAAGGAAAAAAATAAAGTACAACAAAACAAAGGTCTCCTGATATGTGAAAAGATAGAAAAGATAAGGAATAGAATTAGGGGGACAAGAGGGGGAAAAGGAGTGATAAAAGTACAGCAAAACGACAAAAGTTTCCTGCTTACTTCACGGTTGAGAGCAGTACAGATTTACAGCCTAATCAACGTCGTTAACATTATAACAGTAATAGGACTACCTCTTCACTTGACTAGATGAAACCAGAGCCCTGAACAGGTTACATAGAGACTATCTATAGGCCTTCTATAACTAATATCATTCTGTTACTGGGGTGGAAATCTCCTTTACTGACCTTTCACCCCTCAAAACATTTCATCAAGAGAGTGGGGAGCAGGCTATAGTTATTGACCTCTCCCTTGTACATGTACGTTGGGGGCTCTTGTGGCCTAGAGGTCGAAGTGTTCGCCTCTCAATCAAAGGTCCCGTGTTCGAATCCGGGTGCGACCGAAAAAAACATTCTTCTCTCAAATTGTCTCTTTTCACCTCATTTCCTGCTCTCTAGCAATGTTATGTCATCTGCTTTCGTTTCCACTTTCTGCCCCCACCCCCTCACCTCCTTTGCCCCCTCCTCTGGGCTTCGGACCCTTTCTGCAGCCTTTCTACTGCTACTCCTTGGCTCCTTCCTACTGCTCTCTTTCATCTCTTCCAACTGAAAATTGTTTAATGTGTGCCGCGTGCTCATATGACCTTATGTAGTTGCGATGGGCTGTTTAAAAAAAACATGCAGATCTTCATTGCTTTTTCTATATCTTTTATTTACCCTTTGTTTTGATAAAGTCGCCGAGTTTGGGGCGCTCGATCTCATTCCTTGACAGCTTACGAGCAATGATCTGTTTGTTCTCACCCAGCCGCTCCCCCTATCTATCTATCTATCTATCTATCTATCTATCTATCTATCTATCTATCTATCTATCTATCTATCTATCTATCTATCTATCTATCTATCTATCTATCAATGCATCTGTCTATCTCGCTCTCTCTCCCTCCCTACCCCATTCCTTTCTCCGCTCTATCTCTATTTCTCTCTCTCTTTTTCTCTCTCCCCACCCCCACCCCCCTCTCTCTCTCTCTCTCTCTCTCTCTCTCTCTCTCTCTCTCTCTCTCTATCTATCTATCTATCTATCTATCTATCTATCTATCTATCTCCATCTCTCTCTCTCTCTCTCTCTCTCTGTAGGCGTGTGGGCGGGTGTATATAGGTTTATGTGGGAGATTTCGTCTGGGAGAGTGAGTATTAATCTAAAAGCACTAGTAGCAATACGATCAAATGAGCCTATGGAGTTACGAGCGTTGTAAAACTCTACAAATCCTTTTCTGCGGCTGCTGAGGGGACCCTTTCTCAGTATGAA